TATTGCTGATTAGCTGATAATCTACGAATGTTTACATTGTTCTGGGTTAACCAATTCATGTGCGCCACTATTTACTGCAGTTTAGCATTAACACCTAATTGAGATCATTTCTTGAAACTCGCACAATAGTACATGGTAGAGTGTTGCGGAATTCTTTTTTTCCGTTTGTGTGAGTCGCCCCTGGTAAAACACCACATTCGGTCTGTTTCGCAACAATACAAATCATGTGTGAGAACGATTGGAGGAACCACTATGGTATAACGCATGACTATACATCCGTTTGGCGCTACTTCGTCACGAAGCTGTGCTAACTTTGCGTTACGACAAGCTAGTGTTGACATTAATTATGAATCCCAAACAAAGGTTAAAGAAGTAGCAGAGAACCGTTTTTATGTTGATTGTTTATTTAGCCTCGATTCTGTTCACCAAGCAACTGAACTCGTTAAACACTTCACACTTATTCTGTCCAGCGGAGGATTTCACTTGACAAAATGGATCAGCAATCGAAAGGAGGTTATGGCGCATTTACTTGACAGAGAGCTGAAAGTTCCCGGAATAGGATATTCGACTGAGGACGATTGCGTTACAAACGCCCTTGGTTTAAACTGGAACATCACTTAGGACCACCTAACTTTTAAGCTGGAAAGTTTTGGTAAGACATTGTCCCGAAGAGTCATATTCTCGTTTGTAACTTAAGTCTATAATCCTCTTGGCCTCATTGCTCCCATGCTTCTTCCGGCAAAGGTACCGTTACAGAGTTTCATAAGAAAGAAGTTGGATTTGGATATGCCTCTTCTCCTCGACTAGCCCGTTAGCCGGAACATTTTTAAGAGCAGTTCAATAGACCTGGTGCGACACTGCCGCTTGTTGAATCACCTGTGCCGAAGTGGGAGGTTGATGTCACATCTTCCACTTTGGAGGAGATTCGATTTGTGCTTTCCCTGTTGAAACGAAACAAGGCTCCGGGACTCGACGATCTTCCCGCGTCATTTTTGAAAGATGCTGGTGACTGTTGACTTGATGCTTCTCTTTTTAACACGATTTGTAACACCGAAGAGATGCCTTCAAACTGGTGACTATAAACTGCCGTGCCCATCTTCAAGAAGAGTCGGTGTAATTTGTGCGAAAATCATCAAGGCTTTAGCCTTACTTCCATTGCCTCAACACTTTCACGTGTATCATTCTTCGATGACTTACTGGTCTCCTTGAGGACCGGATCACTGAAAGTCAGGCTTGCTTCCACTCTAGTCAGGGTTGCATCGAACTTTTCGCCAAAGCTTGCAGTAGTGATACACATACAGACAACCGACTATGGTAGTTTATCTTGACTTGAGAGCCGCGTTTCACTATGTTGACCGCGCCATCTTGTTGCACTGCCTATCCATGAAGGACGTTTTAGTTAAACCTTTCGATTTTGAAGCCTATGCCGTGATTCCCGAAGCAATGTAAGGGTTTACGGGAAATTGTCTCCTGAGTTCCCTACGACAAGCGGGGTTCGCCAGGGCTGTCCTATACTTTAACTTTCTGATCGAAATGCTCATGAATGACTCGGTTCTTTCAGACTATTCTGGAGTGAAAGTTCTGCCAGGCGAGCGATTGACAAACCTTGAGTGTGCGGACGACATAGTTCTCCTTAGGTCAGATGTATTGGCTATGCAGTCACTATTGGATTGACCGGTGCGTAGCGCTGCACGTTTTGGCATGTACTACGCACCTTTAAAGTGCAAAGAGCTATTTCAGTACTGGGCCGACACACCACTGGTTTTAGCTATTTCCGGACAGATACTGGAATTGGTGGATCGGTTCACTTACCTTGGTAGCTATGTCATCTCTAGTGCTCACGTCACTGAAGAGCTTTTTCACGTATCAGCAGGGCCCATGTGGCTTTCCAGTGGCTCAACCATCTACGGAAACAGCGGGGTATCTGGTTGTCAGTGAAAGATAAGATGTATTACGATGCGATAATGCATTTGTTACTATATGGATCAGAAGGCTTCCAAGTTCGCCGTGTAGACATTAAACGTTTGGCCGTGTTTGACCACCAGTGCTTGCGAAATATTGCTCACGTCTGGTGGGAACACCGGGTGAGCAATGCTGAGGTCCGCCAGTTGGTTTTTGGTAAGTAGCCTTCTGGAGCTTCCTCTCGAGTGTTTGCATTGTCGCAGTCGCATGCGTTGGCTAGGCCAAGTCCTCCCTATGCCCGTTGATCGGATTCCTCGGCATGCATTATACGTCGTGATCGCAACGTTGGACAAAACCGTGAGGTGATCAGTTCATGACGTGGCATAGAGACATGCTGAAATCGACAGACTTAGTCAATGGTTGGAGACCGTATCAGAGTTGGCGCACTCATGAAATTGCTGCATTCGGTTTCTTTTATCTGGTTGTTACTTTTCGTTCCGTTCTGTTTAGTCCGACGCATTTGCTTTTGCTTACATTTTCTCTACTTTCTATTCGCACCGAAACCCACTGTCCTACCGTTATTATTTATTGTTATCCTTACGGCGTAAGTCATGGCTACTGTATGCATCGCACTTCGGTGCTCGGATCATAGTTGTTCAACTGAACTGAACTGGAAAATCTGCTTCCAAAACTGACACTTGATTGGGGGCACGAGCGTGCACTCTGACCCGCAACTTATATGCCTCGACTTGCAGGTGCGTTCCGGCGGACGTCCGCAACTGCATTGTGAGCGCTTAGACACCAGCCAACTGGCGAAGCCAGATGTTTTGAATGCGTATCAAATTACGCTAACATCCAAGCTGATTAAGTGCTCACTGAACACAGTTGAAGATCACTAGTCTCATATCGACCAGACGTTATTAGCAGCAAACATGTTTTCATGTGGCAACTCGAATTGCCAACCTAGACATTTTGTCTCCAAGCAGTCTCCAGAACTCCTAGATGACCACCGATGTGTTCCGGCTGAAAACGAACACGAGACTCGCAAAGATCTGGGTGAAACTGTGTGCTAGCCTGAGGAGAGACTACGAAGCCTGGTTGTCTCCTCGTGCGTCGGAAATGGGAGTGGCCGCTGTCCTCAGTAAACAAACGCAACTTATTCCGTCTGATACGAGATTGGGCAGCCGATCCACAGCTTGTCAAGCCGCTTACCGTGTTGGTCCGAACACTTTGAGAAACAGTTTGATCAACCAAACAGCTTCTCTATTGGCTATTATCCTCCTTTGGCCGTCCCTGTATATCCACCCTCATGTGAGATCAAACGGTTGACATTAGATAAGCTGCCGGAGCCGATTGCCTTCATCCAGCTCTCTTCAAATTCGGGGACCTGCCCTTATTAATGACTTGCATAACTTAATAGTGAATCTGTGGGTGCAGGCTGGAGCCGCTTCATCATAGTCCCAATTTTCAGGAGATGCTGGCGTTCGGAATGTTGCAACCATAGAGGAATCAGCCTGTTTTCAATTGTCTTTAAGCTATTTGCCTCTGTAATCCTTCCTGGACTGACTGGCACCCGTGGAAGCCAGTTGCACGAGAAGCAAACCGGGTTTCGTCGAAATCTAGGCTGCATTGACCACAACTGTACTTTAGCTCAATTGTTGGACTACCGCGATATTTATTGGCGACCCATTCTAGTCGTGTTAATCGACGTTAAAGGTGCGTTCAATTTCGTGGATCGATGTGCCTTTTGGAATTGACTACTCAGGATAGGTGGGCCAGATAGATATTTATATGTCATAAGAGCGCTGTACCCACATTGTTCGGATAGAGTGAGGGTGTGCGGCAGACTGTCGCCGCCCTTCGATATATCCAGCGGTGTGAGACAAGGTTTCTCGTTGTCACCTTTCCTCGTTAACTTTGTCATCGACGAAGTCATGGAAATGGCAATCACTGGTAATTACTTAGAAGGTGGGGAGCTGCTCCCAGGTGACCAATTTCTTGACTTTGAGTACACCGACGATATTGCCCTAATCTGTGACCGCTCCTAAACGTGCAAAGCTGCATTGGACACATTATCACAGGGTGTCAGTCGTTTCGCGAGTTGCTTTGCACATTCGAAATACAATATCCTTCTCTATTGTTTGCAGAGACACCCCTTCGCTGACCCTTGGCGGTGATCAGCTAGAAGTCGTTCAGAAGTTCAGATATCTCGGCACCTAAATGGACGAGCATAGGCCCTAAGCCAAAGCTTGGGGTCTTTTGTTCGTCTACGCCACCTGTCGCGCCCACGTGGCATCATTCTCGCCATGAAAAGCAGAGTTTGCCATGCAGCGGTGCGCTTAACCCTCATGTAGGACGCAAAACCCGGTTCATCAGGTCGACAGACATAAAGAGGCTAGTTACGTTCGATCATCGCTGCCTTCGCAGCTTAACTCATGTCTGGTAGGAACACCGCGTGTTCATTGGGCGTATTCGGCATCCTGTATTTGGTGCAGGAAGAGCAAGTGAACCGTTCAGCACTGTTATATTACGCACGAGGATCCGAGGACTTAATCACGTGCTGCGCATGCCAGCACACCGACTCCCTCGATGTCGTTATTTGCGCGATCAGGTGTAGATGGAAGATGGACCGGAGGCCAAGTGATGACTTTGTACTTGGCGTCGATTGGTGTCTCATGTTTACCAGGCTGGGGTCCGAAAGACAATGAACACATGGATACACTGGTTGACTTGGCGAATAGCCGACGTCAGTGGCATTTGTCTTGTGAGTTTCTTTGTCCTTCGCACGCCCGCTTATTTTTTCCTTTTAACCGCTTTCACCCACATGATACTTGCTAACACACTAAAAATCATAATACGTTTTCTTATTCTGCAATGTTTTGTATCTCTTTTCATATATTGTTATTTTATGTATTGCGACACATTAGCTGTGTGTTTCTTACCCTCAGCTAACGTATTGGTGATGTGAGTGCATCATTACGTCAAATGAGTCGGTCTCTATAGCGTTTCATGACTAACCTTCGCTGTTTTTCTTTCTATCGCCCAACCGCCCGTTTACTATTCCTTGGTGATCCTTACCTCAAAGCATTCTCTTCCAGACCTTTTTCCACGTGCTCGCTCAAAATACCCGCTTCTGTGATTCTGTTGTGAACTCTGCCCTGCGTTTCATTCACTGGGATCGTCCGCGAGGCTGTGAATGCAAGTTTGGAATCTCAGTGGATTGGTGTGGCTGTTCCCCGGTTGCCTTTCGTAATCAGCACGCGCTTCGCCGGCTGTGTAACTTGGTTGGTGGATGCATGGACTTCTCCAGCAGTTCGCATGCAGTGTTTTTTGCTCGAAAATTTGATCCTACCGTGAATCTACCGATCATCAACTTCGTAGCTTCCAACATTCTAGGCGAATATTCAGGTAATTTTGCGCTTTCCATACATACTTCTTTAGCTATTTTGCGGCTAGATGTGCATCATGTTCCGCGCGTGGACATCATACTTCAATCTTCCTTACCGATTTCGTAAAATGAGCATTTTGGCTGTAGCCACTCTGACTTTATCCAAGCCCAGTCCACTGTGCTGTTATTTTTATAAACGCCTCTTTTTCATCCCCTTCTTTCCAAACCAGGACCAGGTGACTCTTTGGTGCATAGTTGTGGCGCATGACGAAGGCGCATTAAGAAATTCCTTAATGATCGCGTTTGTCAGTACGGAACTACCGTGATTGAGTTTGCATTGAGTCGCGCATCAGATTACAGGGTAGGGTTTCCGGCTGTGTCCGCTCGACAATTCTGCTTAGGGTTCTTCTTTTGTTACCTGATCATTCTACACCATCCTGACCACCATCGTGCTTTTTCCACTTCACTATTTTTTACTACCGTTATATATAAATAAATGAATAGTTTATTATTCAACTGCGGAAGACACAGTCCAGTTTGTCTGTCCGACCAAGCTCTACATAGGCATCGCAAATATGTTTAATACTTCAACTAAGCAGACAACTGCGTGTGATAAGGCACATCCTTTTAACGTGGTCAGTTATTCGCACGCGATGCACTTTACCAATCGCGTGTTGGCTGGTATTAAAGTGGCAGTTTGTGTATCAGTGACATACTGTTATACTCTTTGCAAGGTGTTACTCACGACTATGTTTGCAACTACGTGCGGAAACCGATAGTGGTAACAATAATGCTAATATAGTAGATAGATGAAGCGTAGCCTTGCGAAAAATGCGTGCATATTAAGTGCATGTAAAACAGTATTTGTTTGAGCATGTAATAGTCGAAAGCACGAAAAACATGTTATTAGCTCGGAAGGTGGTAGGATGGAATAGGATCACTGCGTAATCAGAAAGGAATGCTCTTTCTGGTACAGGGTGTGCTGCTGTTATCTGCGGGGTAATGGCTGATGATGACGGGGAGCAGTGAAAGCCACAAGGAAGCTGTCTCACTGATGACGCCTTATCCTTTCACGATAGCCACTAGTTTGTGGGGGCATGTTTTTCACGAGGAATGTACAATTAGGCTTTGCTTGTTTGCTTATGGTGGTTATGTTTTCCGTTATGTGTTCATTCTCTCCCTATTATCTTATTTGTTCCTTTCGTCGTTGTTTTTGCCTGGGAACCATACATGGATTCAAATGGCTGGAGTTTTGCGGTTAATGTTGTTGATCTGGATATGTGTTCTCGTGATTCGTTACCATCATCGTTTCTGCCTGTTCAGTGTTTGGTAAACTGTCGTCCGTGTACTTCTCTTTGTCTCTTAACCGAGACCCATCGATTTTCAATTTTCCACATTGTCATTGAATTCTGGGGTTTCGGTATCCTGTTGGATGTAGGCAGCCAAGCGTTGATGATGCGCACACTACATGACTACCAGATCGACATAGCGTGCCTATCAGAATCTCGAATACCCTTCTATGGCTCTGGACAAATCAAAGCCCCTGGTGTCGACACCTGATATTGGCTTTCCACAGTGGGCTGGGAGTTAATTCTGCCAATCAAGCGGTCGGCATGGCTCTCAGTTGCCAGACATACTGCGATCTCCTTTCGTAGAAGCCGTTAACAGTTAGCATATTAGTTGCACGCTTTAAAGGTTTTCCGATGAATCGGACCATAATCTCTGTCTACACACCAACCCTACTTTCAGTGGAGTGTCAAAGGTGAATTTTACGATACTCCACAGACAGGGGTGAATCATGTTCCAAAACGCGATATCCTCATTATTACTGGGGCTGGGATGCACGAACCGTTCCTAAGAACCATCAAACACGTCACATACTCGAGAGATAGCCCTTGGAGAGCGCCGTGATAATGGAGACCGCTTGCTTAGCTTCACTGACCGGTTGTGCGTAACCAATACTCGCTTCCAGCATCACAGGAAGCATCTTCTGACGTGGTACTGCAACGATGATCGTACAGCAAGCCAGATAGATTACATCTTAATGCAATCCAGGTGGATGTCCTCCATAGATGACTGTCGAGCGTACAAAGGGGCTGAACTAGACAATTCAGGTTGTTCGGATCACGTACTCCTGTGCGCCAAATTCACACTCTGCTTGACAACGCACCGAAAGACCCTTCTACCAAAGCGTACCAACACTGCCCCAATAGAAAATACTGACTGTTGCCGATCCCTTGAGGCAGCAATAGAAGCAGCAATTTCTGCCAGTGCGCCACGTCTTGTTCTTGCAGAAGATGAATCTGTAGATGCTTGTTGGCCTAGGCTAAAATCGTCAGTTCAACGCGCCATTTTATCTCCCACAGAAATTGCAGACATCGTTCGTCACTTGAAGCCAAAGGAAGCCCAGAGAGTCGCCGGGATTCCAGCGGAAATCCACAAATCTTGTCTACCAGCTCTCCTTGACCATTTGCACGAGCTCTTCTGCTCCATTTGGGATACCGAAATCTGTTCTTCCTCCTGGAGTCCCTCAGTACTACTGCCATTTCTCAAGAAAGTTGACAGAACTGTTTGCAGTGATTATCGTGGGATTAGCCTAATCGATGTGGCTGCCAAACCTTCGCACGAATCTGGCTTTCCCGCTTCGCCAAGGAGAGGAATCTGCGAACTTGCCATAACCAAGATGCTTTTCGTCTAATCAGAGGCTGCACTGACCAAATCTTCACTCTACGTCGAGTGCTCGAACACCGCTACCAGTTCCAGCAACCTACGTTTGTGTGCTTCCTTGATTTTCGAGTTTCCTTCGACTCAGTTGACCACCAAGCACTCTGGAGAATCCTACTTGCCGATTGCTTGCCGGTTAAACTTGATGAGATCATACTACCGTTGCATGAAGTCCCGAATTCGGGTCTACGGAGAAGAAACAGAGGAATTCGATATCATTACTAGAGTCGGCAGGGTTGCCCACTTTCTCCAATGCTGTTCAACTTCGCAGTCGACTGGGTTATGCATCATGCTCTTAAGGGCTGTCGTGGTGTTCAAGTTAGCTCTGACTTCTGGCTGTCAGATCTAGAATTTGCTGACGATATTGCTATCCTAGCGGAAGATGCCATATCACTACAGTCACTGCTAAATCGGCTCGACGAATCAGTCTCTGCTCGGCCTCGAAATTAATATCTGCAAGACGAAATACTTCTCATCGTTAGCCACCCAGTCCGCCCCGTCGCTGTCCTTACATGGACAACTCATCGAATCTGTTCCTGAGTTCAAGTATCTTGGATCCACTATATTCCCCAATGGTCAGGCTACATCCGAAATCTGGAATTGTATTGATATCGCCAGAACATCCTTCTTAAAACGGAGAAACACATTGTGGCGAAGTACGGAAATTAGTCTGAGAACGAAGATCGGCGTATTCTCAGCAATCATTCGTGTCATTTTACTGTATAATTGCAAAACATAGCAGCTGCAATCCGATGACACCCGGAAGCTGGAAGCCTTTGACTATTGGTGTCTAAGGCTTATCTTGAAAACGCAGTGTCATGAGCGTATCACCAATGACGAAATCCGTAAGCGCTTTTACGGTCTTCCGAAGTTCACAACATCCAACGCCGCAAACTACAGTGATTTGGTCACGTTCTTCGCAGACCAGACACTGACTTCACTGGGGCTGTGGTTTCACCCTCGCCTTGCCAGGGTTTTTGTCGTCGCTGTGGTAGACAATTGAAACGGCTCACTGTCGTGAAATCGGATATCGATCTTCTGACACTCCATGTTGTGCATGGTGCTCCTCACTGGAGGAATCATTGCATTAGTATCTGCGTGGAGCTTGCTGCCGACCGCCGCGCCTGGGAACCTACGATTCGCGACATTCATGAAGCCGGCTCACCCTGTCGCAGGAGCTAGTCGCGGTAAAGTAAAAAGTAAGTAAAGGATACTGAATGGGTCTTCTCGGGACCCTCTCCCAATACTGCTTTAAACTTAACTTCGGCACAGGTTGGTAATTTAGTAGAATCCAACCTAGTGGAGTTTCAGTGGCGTACTGATCACTAGGATCATCGCGCCTCTTTTCTAAAACCCAATGGATATAGGAGTTATCGGTTCCAAACGAAGTTCGCGCGTTTACTTCTAGTTCCGGTAGCTGCAAATTGGATGGATGAGTCCTTTTCCTTTCTTTCGGGTGTGGACGGCATTTGTTCGAGGAAGACCGCTGACTGATCTGACCCGATTTAGTCTAACGGTCTCCTTTATTCTTCGTGTAGACTGTTAGATTTGAATTGGTTGAGAATATCCGTAGCTCGGAATGTGGATGTGGGTTTTGCACTGCTCTCCGAGATGATTGATTACTTTAAAAACGTCGCTGCCAGACTAGGCAGCGTCGTCAGTGCGGCTTTAAGGTCCTGTTCTGTACAATCTCATGAGTGACCTCGAGACCTAAGTGCTCATTGATCGAATGCTGCTTTGAATACCAGGCTTCAGTAAACACGTGTTTCCCGGCTTGTGGCTCTTCCGAGGATTTTGACGTGCTCCAGATCAAAACGGTCACCTTCGACATCCATATTCACGGTCATCAAAGGGTTCTTAGATTCGCCAGCTGCGACTCCATGTGATATTGACCTGCAATCGGACGAATGTTCAGCGTGTCCACGGTCCCTTGCACCCCTAGTTCGTACGGTAAAGTTGAATCGACTAATTAAGCGTCTGACCCACAATCTACCAATGTTAATCTCGGAATTTTGCTATTACGACCAGACACTAATACTGGTAGTGTACCCAAGGACAGTCCATTTCTCTACATGGTGAAGTGCAAAATAACCCTACGGGCGTCAGATTTTGTGTCATTCCTGTCACTGTGATCAATGTGCAGCAGCGGATGATGCGGAAGTTTACAGGAATTAAACTCACAGTTCCTGCGGGAATGACAGCTGAGTTGATCATGGTTTGGCTTCAAGCATAACTAACAAAATTCCGAGCGTTTATGGTTGCTTAGCTTGCAGAAGTCTTCATATTGATCTAAATT